ATTTCGCTGTGATGCTAAGCTTGGTGTTTTTTCATCGGCAGGATCTGAGGCCGCTGTACGCAGGGCGATGTCAGTACTACTCCAAGAGTACGACCCCACCAGAGGTGAGAGCAGGTTCAGCTGTGCTGCTTCCATGAAGGGCCAGCTTCATGGTGCAGGTGGAGAAACCTGCTGCCAGGCTGCTGCTCCGGTGTCCCGGAGGTCTGCAAAACGAGGAGCGGGTGGGAGGCTGGGCCTGGGATGGGAGCAGGGTGCCGGGAGTGAATTCCTCCACGTTTTGTACTGCCACATTAGTGAAGGAGCAGGTGGAGAGGGTGGGATGTAGGACAGCAAAATCTAGCAAAATGCTGTCTGTTGTCTTCTCCAAAGAGAAGCCCACTGGGGACACATGTTCCTGCCACAAATTGATAATGTGCATGGACATCTTTGTCTGCCGTTGCTGTCATACCGACAGTCTTGAGATTTCCTCAGAAGTTCACAAGTAGGTTTGAATAACCACTATATTCCACATTAAAATGCCTGCTTGAGGTGCAAAGTAAGTACTATCCAGTGGCATTGGTGGGGTCCGTTCTCTTTTCAGCCCAAAGACCATCCACATGAGCTTGGGTGTTGCTACCCACAGGCAGACAATTAACCGCTTTAGTCATTCACCAATACGAGAATCTTTCTGTCAGTTTGTGCCATCCTATCCACAACTCCTTGCTCTGAGTTGCTGTGTGGTGAGGAGTGTTAGTTCAGCAAGGTCTTGGCTGCTTGTAAGAGTTGCACAACCCCCTTTCTATGCAGGCAACGTGCTTATCTGTGACTTCCCCATGGTGAAAGGAAACGCTGGTCTGTTCTAGTCTAGTGCGCCTTCATTCCAGCATAACTGTGTACTTTGTAGGGGCTGTGCTGCAAGATAAAGAAAAATCTGCCTGGGGCTAATCTGGAGATCAGTGCAAAATCTACACGTAGAGCAGGCCAAATAGCAGCAGAAACCGTGTTTGGTGATTACGTCCATATGCACTTTATGGATTTTTTCTGTATTCACGCAGGCAATCTGTCACCCACAGCGCCGTGCACCCTGCACGCCGAAAATAAAAACCAACACCTGCTTCTGCTGTGACCTGTACAACTGTGGAAAGTGAGTAAACAAAAAATACCATTCCTGGCCGTGGGAAGAGCGAGCGGTGGTCATGCTGGTTTGCAGATGTCTGAAGAGCCAGGATAGGGCAGGAGCAAAGTATCGACTAATGACAGCTGTTGTGGGAAGGGATCTTAAGCTGTGGTTGCTAACTACAAGGACTCCCGGGCAAAAGATAACCAAGTAGAAGGGTGTATGAAATACACTGGAGCCATCCCAGCTACAGGTGAGCATGCTCCAGGCCCAGCTGGAAGAATGAAGAGGGCGGGAGTTGCCATTACTTCCATGCTTGGTGCCTTTCCCAGTTTTTACCCTATTGAGTGTGCCTTATCCTAATGCCTTCCTTCTCTGTTGGCACTGCTTGTTCCCTAGGTTTTATTTTGTTTTAGAAGATTGTAAAAACTTTAGAAGATTGTTTTAGAAGATGTAAAAACTGGGACACTGTTCTTCCTCACCTTCTGACTGTTCGTTCCGCACCCTGCTAACAGGGAGGAGAGTTTGCAGGCTGGTGCCACCTGAGTGTTCATAAATCAGTGTGCTCCCTGCCCACTGAATATCTTTCTTGGTCACAAGAGGTTGGAAGATGTACCAGCACTGTGCAAAGATGAGTCAGAAGGGTGGTTACCAATTGAGAACCACTGCATAGTGTTCACACCTTCATTAGGTCTGGCTACTGTGCCTAAGCCAACTTAATTTACAGCATGTTCTGCTTATATCACTTAGAGTGCCTAATGTGTGTCAGCATGCAGTTAATAAATTGATTTTTTTTTTTTAGTGCTGGCTCTTGCCTAGGGCTGTTTCAGGCTTCGCATTTCTCACAGTACTTAGTTGGGCTGGCCCCCACTTAAATCATTGACTGTGGTGGAGGAAGATCAAAAGCTGCTGTCGGGAGAGGGTGGTTCCGCGTGCTGGGAAGGGTAATCCCTGGTCTCTGTAGGACTCTTGTTTCTGTGGAAGCCACGGCAGAGGGGTGAAGCTCATGCTTTCCTTTGACAGTTTACAGAACACGATCCCTCTTCACTAGCTGAAGAGAGCAATACACAGCGAAGTGATTGAAATAGAAAAACTTGTAACTTTTCTGAATTTTTTTTTCTTTTTGTTTCTTCCCAATCAGGCTGGTTCAGGGTCCTGCCCCTGACCTGTTTTCCCCACTCTGATATAAGATATCAGTTGTTACCATCTCAGTCTTGCATAGTACCACACAAGTGTTCTGCACTGAGGAGGTGCTGGTTTTGGGGGGGATCTCAGTAAGAAAGGCACAGACGCTTAAGGCTGGTTAGCTCACATATTATGTAAAGGATGGAAAGTATAGAAAAAGTGACAACAATCTTGCATCCCTGCTGATGCTGGGAACCCCGGCTGTGGCAGCATCGAAGGAGCCCCTTCCCGTTGATAGGTACATGCTGCACTTACCTGTACAATGCTGAATGTTCTCGGTGGCACACCGAGGCTCGCTGAGAGCTTGACACTCTCACGCATCTCCATAGGAACGAGCTCTTGCAAACAGGACATACAGGTTATATTGTTAAAGGCGGTCACGGTATGTGCTCAGGTTATACAGAGGTCATGCAGGGTAACGTATAGGTTTTTACAACCTGTGGATACGCTCTGCCTCGATTCTGCTTGGAATCCCTGTCTCCTCGTTGCAGTGTCTTCTGCAGTGGCCTGCTACCATAAGATACGGAAAAAAGGACAAGAAGAAACGAAACTGGAGTAATGAGGGAAGGACGGTGGCTCTTGTGAAAGGGGGCAGGTTCCTGCAGGCCTTGCAGAGTCTGATGAGGAGCTGAGCCTGGATCTCCTCCTTCTTGGCCTTAAATATGAGCCTGTTCTTCCCCATTTCCTCAAAGCCCTTGTGCGGTTTTAGCCTAACTCCGTATGTGGGCTGGGAGAGAAGTCATTCATAAGCCCTTAGTATCGTTTGTCCCCGATAAATACGTTTTCTTAAGGGGAATTTGCTGTAGCCCACTACATTTGGTACGCAACACCGAAGGCCAGCCTGTTCCCCCAAGCCATGGTCAGAGAGAAGTCGTTCCTGAAGAATCCTGCCTGCAAGCCTCCAGCCCGCACGTCCCTCTCCAAACTAATGACCTAAGTGGATTCGACCGAGTTTTCTCCATCTCTTTTTCTGCATGCGGAAAAGCTGAAGAATGTGAGCAGAAAGACCTCTCTGTGCCAGGGTCCCAGGGGTCCTGCAGGCAGCTGGAGCAGGGCGGCCACGTTGGACGTGGTTTGTGGCCAAGCCTTGCGGTGCCAGGAGGCCAGCAGTGCTGTCCTGTGCCCGTCCCACCCAGCTGCTCTGGTGGCTTGAGGAGCTGCCAGCGCTGCCCTGAGGGGCGTCTGCCGCTCCTCGGGGCACAGACTGATTTCCCTGGGTAATTCCCAGACCGGTTTGTCCTTGGGGAAGCCTCCAGGATCTCTGCAGAGATTTCAGACGATAGAAATAAGAGGCGGATTCAGACTCCAAGTCATTTGGGTATTTGCGGGCCTTGCAGGACTTGTTCGTTACACAACGGATCGAGCCATCTTCCGCCGTTGCCACGCAGGGAGATCTCAGATGCCACAAGTGTGGCATCTAGCAGGCCTTACCCCCGCTCCCTTGGTAGTTAGGTCCAGGCTGTCATTAAATTGCAGAATGCATTTTGCTGTCCTGCAGAAGCACTTAGGTTTTATGGTGTGTGGTGCATTTTTTAATCATTACTGTGGTTTTTTTTTTCCTAATCTAGCAGAGTAGAGATTTCTGGAGGCTACTATGAATACATTGATGTCAGCAGCTGCCAGGACATCATCCACCTTTACCACTTGCTTTGGTCAGCCACGATTCTGAACATAGTGGGGCTATTCCTAGGGATCATTACAGCAGCGATACTTGGAGGCTTTAAAGACATGGTAAGATGCTAGCAATTTCTCTGTGCATTAAGCAAAACAAATCAGGCAAATTGCCTTTTAAAAATAATAATAAAAACAGCTATTGGTATTTCAATGCAAATGATCTATGCATCACTGCAATCAGGCTAGGAAGAAGGGCATGAAATAACTGTAAGGAGAAAGTGGAAATCATTCACTCTTCTGATCTGGCGTCACCACCTGAACACAATTAGGAAAGATGAACAGACTTGGGAGATAGTATTTTCAAAAGGAACTTTCTCAGAGGTGTTGGCAATGCTGGGATGAATAAAAATAAGCTCGTTCTTAAAAACTGATCTTCCTTTTCGTATCGTTGACCTTCTGCAAGGAAATGTGTGGTGGTTGCTCATGAACTGTTGATTTTATAGTAGTAATAGGGTCCTGAGCTTTACAGACTTTTTAGGCAGCCGTGTTAGGCTGCAACTTTCCATCTAGTTTCTTCATGGTGCAGAATCTGAGAGAATCTGAGAGTGTAAACTAGGGACCAAAACCAGATGAAAGATTGCAAACGTCACATAATGAAAAAAAAGCTGTTCTGATGATGTGAGCTTTGAAATAACCTCACTTAATGAGGCTGCCTGTTACCTTCCATACAGTTTTGTTCTGCAGAGAACAAATAAAGGGGGAGAGCTGAACATTCAACAGATAAATTGGGTGTTTTTTTCAGTGTTTTGTGACTCATTTGGAATAATACAAAATGAGACACCCAGAAAAGAGCATTTGTTGTCCTGGCAATAAATTTTTCTTACAAACAAATCTTGGGCCCTGTGCTAAGGGTGCCTTATTTCAGAACTCTGAACTTTCCTACACTCTTTTTGGAGACACCGAGATCTTCCCAAATAAGACAGGAGACTTGTTCCCAGCTGTGCATTGTGGCCTTTTGAGATTTGAGCCATACCAGACAGACTGTGAACCTCTGCAAAAAAAGATGTATAGAAGTGTCTGTGAACAGCAGTACGAGAGGAGTTGAAATATGCTGATCTCATAATGCGCTGAGTAACAGAGTAATCAAAATTAATGGATTCTTTCTCCTGCTTGTGAAGATGCAGTCTGAACAGTTGTTTTGTTTGAGTATTGGCATGCACTGGACTATTGCTGGCTTGCTGCTTTCCTCTCAGATTCCACAGAACAATAAGTGGCTGAGGAATGAAATGACTTTAGGATTTACCTGCTGCCTACGAGGGAACCGGGTTGCCAGTTGGTAATTTGGCAGACTTGAGCTCTAAATACACACAGTGCTCCTTTAAATCACTTCTGCTTTCATTCAGCTGTCAATTTTCTGTGATTTGGTCAGCAGCCTGAGATTCTCTTCTTTTTGTTTTAACAGACTCCTTCCCTCCCTACGCTGAACTGTACGGTTGAAAACGCACACCCTTCAGTGTCCTACTACTCGAGGCCACAAGTGACATCTTACAACACCTACTACCACAGCACTCCTCACCTGCCTCCCTACTCTGCGTACGACTTTCAGGTAGGGAGAATTACAGGATGTTTTCTGGTTAAATCCAGCCGGTCCGCAGGACTCTGAAGGCCTGTCTTCCCATCATTCACACAGTTTAATTTTTCTGTTCCTGCAGAGATTACCAAATCTTTCCTATTAGGCATTGGTCCTTGGCAATGCTCTCTTTACCAAGGCTGTGTTCTCCTGAAAGCTGTCCTTGAAGAGAAGGCGACAGAAGCTGCTGCCTGCCTCCCCTGTCGTTCACTGGCAGAGGCCACATTAAAAATAGACATTGCCTCTGGCACCTGTGATGCTCTGAGGATAGAGGCCAAGCAAGGTGTTCGGGTGCTAGTTTTTATTAGGCCAACTGCTGCATCTGAGAGAAGCAGATGAGCTTTTGAAGTAAGCTTTTTAAGCTCCTGAAGACACATACTGACTGAAAAGCTCTTCTGTTGTGTTGTGTTTTTCCACACGCTTCAACTGGCCTAAGGATGGTCCCTGCAAACATCACCTTTGCTGTAACGCTTCCCTTCCTCTTCTGAGTTACGGAACTGTGCTGTTGGAAACGGTGATTTCACGTGAACCTTGCTGTCAGCATCAGCTTTCAGTTGTTGAAGTAGATGAGGACATTTCCTCCTCAGCTATTCTGTCAGGTGGTTGTTACCACAGTGGTGATGTTAATGTAACACATCATAGGTTTTCTTTGCAACCGTCAGGGCTGGAGACTTTTTTTAATTAATGTTGTGGTTTAACCTGGCAGGTAGCTACAACAACCGTACAGCTGTTCGCTCACAACCCCCTGCCCAGCGGGATGGGGGACAGAAACTCGTGGGTTGAGATAAAGGTGGTTTACGGGGGCGGGGGGGGAAGAGAATAATAATAATTATAAGAAGAATGATAAAAGAGTATGTAAAACAAGTGATACACAGCACAATTGCTCACCACCCTCTGACCGATGCCCAGTTAGTTCCCGAGCCGTGACACCTCCCCAGCCAACTCCCCCAGTTTATATGCTGGGCGCATGGCATCGTATGGTCGGGACCATCCTTTTGCCCAGCCTGGGTCAGCTGTCCCGGCTGTGTCCCCTCCCCGCGCACCCCCAGCCAGCTCGCTGGCAGGCCAGAGCATGGGAAGCTGAACAGTCCTTGACTACTTAGCAACAACTGAAAACATCAGTATGTTATCAACTTTAGTTTCATCCCAAATCCAAAACACAGCACTATACCAGCTATCGGGAAGCAAATTAACTCTATCCTAGCTGAAACCAGGACAATGAACAAGAGCTTAAGGTCTTGGACATCAGCTAAGAGGCGTGCTCTGTGATAGCCACCATTTCCCTCAGCAGAGCCATGCATTAGAGGCAAATGAATCTAAACCTGGTTTTACCACTAGTGCCACTAGACAACATTGTTGTCAGGGCTTCCTGGCAATATTTGAACACTTACATCAAAATTTCTAGGACTTACTTATACAGATTTGTGACTCATTTTTGAGATTAACGTGACCTGGGGCAGTCACTAGTGTTGTATACCTTTTTACAGCTATCAAAACTTTTTACAGTTACAAAAGTGCCAACCTCAGCGCATACCAAACCAAGCTCTGCTGCAGAGTCCTCTTAGCCGCTCAGCTCGTACCAAGCACCATTTAACTCGGGGTTTGTCTGTACTGCAGCCACAGTACCAGCAGAGAGCTCAGCACGGGTGGGTTTGCCCTGCTTTTCAATTTGAAGTACTGCTGGGGCTCTGCCACAGCTCAGCTGGTGGATGAAAGTCTCTCTCGTGTCTCACTGCTCTGAGCACAGGTGTTGGCTTAGGAGTGAGTACAAAAGCTGGGCATAAATTGAGGTAATCTAAATTTAAAATAGCCAAGTCTCTCTTTCAGATGCAGTTCCAAACTTGAGCCTTGCTTATCTTCCAGGGAACTTGAGGGCCTGCATGAAAGCGTTAGCTGAGGCCTCTGGCTGTGGAGACTTTCTCGTGCCTTGAGCCCTACTCTGACCTGAGCAATGTCTGGACCACCCTGACACCTTCTCCCCTGCCATCCCACAGCACACAGAGGAAGCCCAGCCTCACCTCTCAGATCCCTTTTGAAGACTGCGCTCCCTCTGGTGCAAGAATTGGCCAAGTCAGTGCTTCCCACTCATCCCACGTATCTTTCACAGGACAAAACCGCAACACTCCAGAATTTCTAAGGAAACCTGTGCCCCTGCCTGGCTTTCACACACAACTCTAAAACAGCAGACACGGCGCTCTGTTTTTTGGAGGAGTGCAAGCCGATGGGTGTTGCAGTGGCCATCGCTTGTGCCATGGCTAGTGACACTCCACCCAGCTGGTCGTGGTGAGGAAGGCAGCAGCCCTTTGCAGTATGTCATGATGGCAAAGGGCCCTGGTGAAGTAGTGCCTGTGTCTTACTCCGCGCTCTGTGTGCTTAGTTGGGGGCAATTGGGTGAAAGTCTCAGTGCTGCAGCGTTTTCACTTCTGCAGGCCCTGAGCCACGTTTGGCTCTGACGAGAGAGCGCAGGCGAGCGGTGGCCTTCTCTGCCCTTCATCCCGTTGAAAGAGGAATTAGTACCACCTTCCCAGCCTCCAGCTTTGTTGACAAAGCCAGGCTGCTGCCTGCAGGCGGTGTGAGCCAGGCCTGCTTGCAGCCACGGCGGCTCTCCTCCAGGACTCGTGGCTGTGGCTGAGGCAGCCGGGCGCAGGCACTTTGTAATGGTGAAAAGCCAAGGCTGTGTTTGCTAACAAGCGCCGGTGCCATGGCGCTGCGGCAGCGCCCTTCCAAAGGCCTTTGCGGTCCGGGGCCTCCCACCCATTGCGCTTTAGGTGAACTGGGGTGTGAGGGAGGAGCTGTTGTGTTGTTTGAAACAGGAATGGTTTGTATGGCTTTCCGTGAGGTCCTCGATGAGCAGGCTGGGCTTCCGTGATCTATATATCCGCTTGATAAACCGTCGCGGGTTGGTGGTGTTAGGGGAGGGACACAAAAAAGATGCTGTTTGAATACAACCTGCTATTACTGCAGAGTCCATCGTCCCTCCACTCACCACGGTAAAATCACACGGTCGCCTCCAGCCTTGTGCATGGTCACCGCTGCGTACAGCTGGGCCTCGCTGCGCCTGGCGCCGGTCCCCGGGCACGCGCTCCCTTGCAGCACGGCGCAGGTCCTCCTCACGCCCCCGTCTCTGCCGGGGCCTTAGGCCGGGCACACCTGGGATTCACAGCCCATGCCCGCGGCCGAAGGCTAGTGAAGGGGGACGTGGTGCCCGAGTGCCAGAGCTCTGCTCCGGCGCGCGCCGTCCGACGCCGCTCGCTCTGCAGGTGGCTTGCTCGGGTGGGCCAGATGGCCAGCAGCAGCACAGGGCGCAGCAGGGCTGCCGGGGACAAACCCACGGCGTACTAGTGGCCAGAGGAGCGCATGCAAGTGTCCATATTTCATTGCTTATTTGTCTGGCCTGTTTCTGGACAGAAGACAGCCTGTGTGCAGGTCTGGCACCACCAGCGCCGTATGACTTGAGGCTATAGACCCACGGTATTTTTGTTAAAAAAGGTATTTGGAGAGCAGAAATTAATCTTCAGCCATGCACAAATTTTGTTTCTCTGTCTTTTCAAGCTTTTTACTTACTGAAGGAATAAATTACTTTGTCATCATTAATTTCAGGGGGGTATTTGTGATGAAGAGAAAAAGTAGTGTGAAAAGAAATTATCTGCAGCCTGTTCATTGTTGCTACTGGCTAATGTGTGAAACCCAAGTTTTGAGAGAAACTCATCAGTTTTCAGTTGTCCAGCCTCTGAAATGTAGCAGGTATACAGAAGTGATGAGAAAGAAATATTTTTATTGTTTTTTTTAATTCCTTCTCAGTTTTACATCTAAGCAGTCTCATTATGCAACTGTTACTTAACAGGCTGTGCTTACCTTGAATGCAATAACTTATCTGAATATTTATTTGTATGTACATACATTTTGCAGAAGTGAGCCTTGAAATGTTAATTTTGCACTGCGTGGTGATGAAGTATCGCTTTGCCAGGTCCTTTACATTAAGAAGTGGTTACATTACAGCCTTCTTGCTGTCTCCCTGCAGCATTCCAGCGTGTTTCCAGCCTCCACTCCTTCTGGCCTCTCCGATGACCCTCAGTCGGTGTCGCCATCTCCCAGCTACATGTGGTCCTCTAATGCACCGCCACGTTACTCACCACCGTATTTTCCGCCTTTTGAAAAGCCACCACCTTATACACCGTAAACAATGTGAGAAAGAAGAAAAAAATATTTGCCATTGAAATAATTGTGAACATTTTGTATTTATATTTTACTGTGGGAGGGAGCAGGAGGATAGATATAGAAGATAATTGCAAATACCAATATTAGATTGAACTGTTCTTTCTTGCGAGACTTACTTGAGAGGTTTAACGATGGAGTGTGAGGAAGGGGACATACTGCTGATGTTTTGCAGTGTCGGTGAGTAGCGAGTAACCTAAATTCCAGTCTCCTCGTTTTACCACAAGGTTCATGTAGTCCTTGGTTTTTAATAAAGCGGTACAACACAGATGGGGCCACAGAACTTAGCTCACATCACTTGTTGGTTACAGTCTATGCACCGGAAGAATCTTAGGGGGAACTGTGACAGTATCTTACACTTTAACGCTAATGGAAATACATAAGGTCATAGGATATTTTCATGTATGTCTAGCAAAACAATCAGAATATTGCTTTTTTGAGGGGAAAAAGCTTTAACAGGCAAGCTGTTTTTATTTCAGGATGCTTCTTAAGATAGAAGGGGAAATGGAGTTGTCTCTCTCTGAATTCTTTGTAAGTAATGCTGAAGTCAAACAGTTTTGGTGGTTGCACTGCCTAAATCTTCCTTGTATTCCTATAAAGAGCATCAGGAACTGTCCACAAGTCACTGAAACAGTGCAGTGAAAACGTTGTTACTAATTTTTTTCCCTGCTGTTTGATTGAGAATTTTTTTTTTTAAGCTTGTACTTTTAACTTTTTTAATGGACTGAATCAGCACCCTGAATAAGCACTGCTTTAGTAGCTGTATTATGGGCTGCACATAAGGAATATCCACTACTAATTCTCCAAGATGTAAGTCTCACATGGATAAAATTCAACACCCTGTAATATAGGATGAAACTGATAGGAATTTGCAATTATTGTTGTGACTTTCATTTAATCTTCAGCTGATGACTGTGCTGATTGATCTAGATTCCAACAGATTTTGCATGCATCCTGCATAACAAAAGAAGGTCAGCTTTGTTATGTGACATACTGTCCTGTAAAGTGTGGTTCTACTCCAGGAAGTGATTTCAGATGACAGCGTTCAGATCTGAGCTGCTCATGCTGAGCATTCTCAACTTCTTACTTCAGGGATAAAAAAATGAGGTATTGACATTTTACTCCTTATTTCCTAAAGATACAATTTCCTTGGCATCAGATTGTTGACCCTAATCCTCAATTGTCTACCTTTAGTTTCAACTGATGCAGACAAAAAGGTACCTAAAAGCTAAATCTGATTTTCAGAATGTAAAAGTGGAGTACATGCTAAGGGGCAATCCAGGTGGATTTTAAACTGTGGCATCTCTCTACTTTTAATCTAAAAAAAAAAAAAATAATAATACTGTCAACATGGAAAACAAACACTGAAGTCTCTGATCTCACTTTTCAAAGTACACCCACACTTTATAATGCTGTTTTTAATCCTATGCATTTGCAAAGCCTTTAGGCTAGGCTATGTGTTAACCTTATCATTTCCACTGTCAAATACTAACCAGTATATTAATAAGCTGAAGGATGACACTGTTTATCCGGAAGCAAGCATAACTTTTCTCTAGTAACAAAGAAAAATAAACGGCTGGAGAAGGGAATACAACTCATGGGATTTAAAGCAGTAGTGTATGCAGAACATATCCTGGTGACACTTTGTTTTACTACAGATTGTTGAAGTGCAACTCCTATATATTTGTGTACTGGAAATAAATTTATGTACTAGGGCATCATCCATTTTATATTACTTTTTCCTGAATTAAATCTTTCTAAAGAGACCATGGGCAATTTCAAAATAGACAGTACTTCCCCTGATAAAACTCCCCACAAAACTAGAATCAGAAGGGGACATAAATTAAATATCAGGAAGCATTTTATTGCTGCATCTTTGAAATAAAAACTAACAGACCTGTCCCACTTCTGACAAACATACTGTACCATTTGTGCCTGTCAACTAAATAGGGCTAGAAGGACTAGGGGACACTACAGGACAGGACTAAGACACTCATGAGGGGAACATAACTTAGTGGCAGAGAAACGATTAGGAAATGATTCTGTCATTGGTTTTAAGTTGACAAATACTAAAAGGAACATTTAAGCAAAAGTTACATTGCTGCTTTAAATTCACTACAAAAGGACAAGTCCATTTTCACGTTTAAAGAATTACCAGTGGGATTTTCTGTTGAATTACCTGTTTCCTTCTGCTTGAGTAAAACTAAGCGTTTAATGTAAATGCAACATTCAGCACTGTATTCATCATTTCTTATGAGAATGTCAAGATTGTGACTCATATGTACCCTTTTATTACTTTACCAAAGTTAAATAAAATTGTGTGACTTTTGTAAACATTTATAAATTGCATTTTACATTTTAGCAACTTTCCTGTTTTACAAGCATCTTTAATGTTAGTTTAGGAATTCCAGTATAATAGCATCATGCATTTAAAGAAAACAAACAAAAAAAACCCACGAACAAAAAACCCAAAACAAAACCCCCAAAAAAGTATTTCCTATTTTGGAAACTGTTTTTTCTACACTGTTTTTAAGTTCTGTTTTTAAAAGCCCCAGATGTCCCCACACTTCATAATTCTGCAGTTCTACCCCTGTGCAGGGTGCCTTGACTTCATCACTGTAAAGTCATTACTGCTGATTTTTTGCTTAACACAGAGACAAATAATCGAGCTGGTACAGTGTCAGTGTCTCCTTTACTTACTTTCATGTTTACTGTATTACTTCGGGCCCAATTCTGTCCAAATGATGTCAGCTGCTCTTTGATAATAGTAGAAGCAGGTGGAAGCCCTATGCCAAAGAGGTAAAGGCATCTAAAACATCCATTTGATATGTTACTTGTAATTGCATTCCTTGCCTGTAATAAGAATTTTACATAAATAACTAATTTTCTCCATGTGGGCCATGGTTTACCAACAGTCTTCCAAATCCTAACTAGTCAGCAACCTGGTGAGAAGAGGAGCCCTGACCAGGAGTTAGCTGAAATGCGTTGCACTGGTCACTGTGGATGTTTTTCTTGATTTCTAGCTCATTTGCAATGACAGTAGTAGCTGGACAGACTTCCACAGCAGCTCCGCTTATGCTGAGATTAAGTGTGTATCACAGCATTCAGCTCACAATATACAGTGGAGCTTTTCAGCTAATTTACTTTCTTGGAAAGTGCTCAACCAAAAAAACCCATCAAAAAACCTAGGGCCCAAATAAAAACACCTCCCCCCTGCTATTCCCAAAGACCTGGGAAAGGAAGCTACAAACTGTTGGTAATCTAACATGTTAGACTGTAGTAGCCGAGTTGTCATTAAAAAGAAACATGCCACACCCATCTTTAGAATTAAACTTTTTTTTATTTTTGCCATAGAAAGCTCTAAGAACTAATACCAAGGGTTGATTAATGAAAAGTAGAACACAACTTTAAAAAGGATGTTAAGGAAAGACTGTACAACTATATACATTACAGATCTGGCAAAAATGATACGTTTCACATGGAACAGTTCCTAGGCGATAGCTGTAGAACTCAATGTTCAGTGTATATAGTCATCAGCTTCTGCACCTTTTTATAAGCTGCATGCCTTAACAGTACAAAATAAATAAGCAGTCCATTGTTACCTCAATATTTGTTTGATTCACATACTGGAATGCTATGGTGTGAATCCCCAAAGAAACCATACAGTGAGGATGCAGCCACCGTTATCATAGTTTGCAGCAGATCCGTTAATGTTTTTATATGCATATAAATGACTGTGAGGTTTACTATCATACTCTGTTGACATTTTTAATTTTTATATAAATGCTTTTTCAGATTCAATCTTTTTCTTCCATTATGCCAAAGCCAATTTCTTAATATTTACATAAGGTTTTTCATTAAGTTAAACTGGAAGCTAGGTGCTTACAAAAACAAACAAAAAACAAATATTTAAGTGCAACAGCCAGAAATCTAAATATAAAAGCTCATGGCCCCATAAAAAGTTTTAAAAGAATGGATTTAACATGTTTCCAAACCAATAAATACTGGAAGTGAAATTAAAAAATGCTTTACATGACCTCTGGACTTTGGATATCAAAAAATCACTTCCAAGGAAAACTGAAGACCCTGAGACACATGCAAGCACGAGTCTTCTAGCAAAAATAGTTACAAAGCCCTAATTTTCCAGTTTTCCTCCAAAAAGAGACCTTTAGTAGGCACAGTTTAATTTAAGGTTTTAAATATATCAGCAGCAAATATTGATAGCCATTATGTTTAATTATTACTGAATGTACACTTTGCAATGTATGCTTAATTCCAGATGTGTCATGTCAGTAACAAAAATAACATTGTATTTTTCTTGTTAAAAAGTTCAGGAAATCTCAATATAGCACGCAGCCAGCTACGTCAGAGCTACCTGTGCTCATACAGGCAATCAGTACTTATGTCTTGGGAGGATTATGTTTGACTGCTGAAATGCCATCTCAGATAACATCCAACCTGTAACATTTGAAAGCATACCCCATTATATTCAAAGGGGTCTGCGATATGATCTGAAAATAACAAAGTACATCAAACCAGAAGTGCTGAGCCTTACATGCGTAAGGTAAACATATCCTCCTCTTTCTCCCATCATTACTCATACAGATTTCTGGTACCCTTTTTCATAGCTCAAGTTGTATTTGAACCATTTACCTTTTAAATGTCTTTCTGTCTACAGTACTTTATGTCTAAAACCTTAACCTTGATCAGGATGCTTACTTAAAACATCAAAAAGAAAAGAAAAACCTTTAACTGTAATTTAAGCAATGAAAGGTTACGATAACCAACTAGCACTATGCACGACAATCTTTCTCAGCCACCTCTAGAACTTGAGCAGTTTTCATATTACCATTTACAAAAATTCAACAAGTCACTAAATCTGAAATGCTAAACTATGACTCGAGGGAACAGCTGTTTGTTTTTCTCAGATCTACTGTTCCCTGTTCAAGTTGAACATCTAATTTATCTTCTAAGTGCCTAAACATGTACCAATTGCAAGGATTAAAAAAGGACAATATAATAAACCCAAAACTGAAAATAGATGACAACTAGACAACTGCAGAGAAATTATACTTTGGATTATGGTGGATGGAGAGTATTTTTTTATTGTTGGTTTAGTCCTCATGCTTCCACACCCTATAAATGAGGGGGGGAAATCCAAATCCCTGTTTCATAAAGATCTAGCCAAATAGGCATACAAGATCCTCAGCAGCCTCAGCTGATACAGCACTTTTACATTATTTC